CGATTTGCCAACATATAGCATATAATACCCAGCGCTCAGCAGAGAAGGACACACTATATGAATTTTTTTTTAAAGATTTTATTCATTTGTGAGAGAATGAGCATGGGCTAGGGGAGGGGCATAGGGAGAGGGAAAGGGAGAAGCAGACTCCCCGCTGAGCAGGGAGCCCAACATGGGGCTTCATCCTAGGACCCCAGGATCATGACCTGGGCCAAAGGCAGATGCTGGACCCACTGAGCCACTCAGGTACCCCTCTAACATGAATCTTACTTGTATAATGTGCGTCTGAGCATCAGATGCCTGCAGTGGTCTGGCAGGTGAAGTCAGTGGTATGGGTGGTGACCATGGCCAACAGGAGGGTACAGACCCCATCTCAAGCTTGTGATGGGCAGGGGGATGGGGGCCCAGTGTGGTCTAGTCATAGGCTTTTTCAGAGATGTTGGAATTGGCCCTCAGGTGCATAATCTTCTGGGTTTTTTAATGCTGGTAACTAATTCACATTAGGAAAGAAGGGAGGAAGAGAGGGTGGGAAGTAGAGGAGGGAAGGAAGGAAAGGAAAGGAAAGGAGAGGAGAGGAGGAGCGAGGGAAACAATGTTGGAGCTAAACAAAACAGGCCATGGGTTTGACTTGTCCTGTGATCACCAGTTTGTAACCCCCATTCTAGAGAACGAAAACGAGTGTGAGAAAAGTGGATATTTAATAATTTTTTTTTTGGGGGGGATATGTTTTCCCTTTTATGGAACCTTAATGTTTGTATGCAAAGCTTGAAACCCTATACAGCAAGATATTAAACCTTCATGGCCACTTAATCTTCCTGATTGGATGAGATGTAACAAGTGCTAGAAAGCGGATGTTGCCTGTTGTTTTAAAATGTCGTCTTTTATTTTCTTTATATTATTTGCTTTAAATATTCTTCTGAACACACTTGCCACCTCCATGCAGTTAAGCCGGTTCAATTTAAACATTGTCATAAAGTTAATTTTTTATAAGATGAATCAGGTTATTAAATTTAGTAAACCATTGCCTTCATTATTTTGCACAAACTTTGGCACTGTGCAAAATTGGCTCAGCGCTACTACTTTTAGCTAATTAAACTGGTCATCAGCTGCAGTATTAGGAGCGTGAGGGATGCTATTCTCATGAGCTTTTCCCAGACTTTAGCAGTAGGTAGCATTATTAAACTTTTCTTTCTCTTTCTTTCTTCCTCTTTCTCTCTCTCTCTCTCTTTTTTTTTTTATAGAACTCTACACTCTAGAGATATGGTTTATTATAGGAGTGTTATTGTCCTTTCTTGTTAAACCTTCATCTTTTGAAATATCCTTGCTTTTGTTTCGGCTCCAAGGGCACTTGTAAAGGATAAGAAAATGGAGCTGTCTCTTGCAGCTTTTAAAAGGAGACCAGCAATGTGTAACGCATTGCTCAGATAAGGAGCCAGAGGGTAATTTTACACGACTCCGGTAAATGGCTGGACGGTAACCACAGGCAGGTATTCTGTGAAATAGAGAGGGTGCAGACTTATGGCTGCAACCTGTTGCTGTCATCACATCAGGTGTGTTCCTCTTCGTAATAAAAAGTCCTTTGCCGTAGGTCATTTTGTCACCTGAGATAGCATGACTTAAACAGGTTTGTTTGGGAAAATAAATTTTGATAGGAAATGGGCGTGCTCTTTCCCCATAGATTTCTAGGTAGTGTCATTTAAAATCACAGTGAACCCTGTTTTTGCAGGATTTTAAAATTTATTCATTGTAAAAAAAAAAATGAAGTCAGAGGACCATCAATATTGTTTGAAACAACTTGTATTGTTTGTAATAGTCGAGAATTGTAGCCTGTTAGCAACCTCTAAGAACCATTTGTTCCTTTGGCAGATATGTCTTGCATCCTCCTGGGTGTGAGTCCCATGGGATGCAGGGATCAAAAAGGGACAGATTCTAAGGAGTTTATAGTTAAACAGGTAAATCCAATAAATAGAGCCCTGGGGTTGACCTGACCCTGGGTCATTTTGATGTCCTCTCAGTCCCTCAAAAAGACTGACGAATGACCAAGCTTTGTGTCCACCATCTTTCCCGACTTTATTATTATTTTTTGCTTTTTATACTCTCTGATGAAAATGTGATGAAAAATATTCCTGATAATTGCTCCAACCTGGACATTTCACAGGGATGCAGAGTCCATGATTTCAACAAGATCTTCTGGGTGTGTAAAGTCCTAGGAGTGCAGGTGAAGTCGTTTTTGGCCACTTCCTGTTCCCTCCATATGGCTGTCAGCATTTCATTAGTCTGATGGATGTAGCATATCAGTCAGCAAGATTTCGTCCTATGCATGCCCCTATCCAGTTTTGGAACAGCTGGGCTACAAAACCTGGTGTTTTACTTCTTTCTCTTTCTTCAAATGATGTAGGTGCCTTTTGCCACTAGTGGTAAGTGGTAAAATTGGCATCATGGATCAAAATTAGTAAATTTCAGATTATTGTCTTCTTATCTCAATGGCTCTAAGCTATGGCTTCAACGAACAGCTTTCACTATATATACCAAGGAGGTTGCAAACAGATGTAGATGTTAAATATTTCCGATTTGAAATCCTTTGGGCACCATGTTAGCATCAGATTCAGGTATAGGATATTGTCCTTAGATAATGGTAAGTGAATATCTTGGGATGTAGAACTTGACATAGCCTGAAAAATAACTCAAGTTATCCCAACAATGGAATTCACGTGTGTTCTGGAGACAGTAGTCACACAAATGGAATAGTGGGTCTTGTAGCTAATTTCACTTAAGTTCTGGTTGATATTAAAGCCAGTTAGCTCTTGGGTTGCTGCTGGGAGCAGGTCGAGGAGAAAATGTTAATTTTTCGGTCATAATGACTGGGCTGTATTTAATAGGTCATACAAATCAGAGAGGAGACCCAGGCTTTATACCAAAGATTTTGGAAAGAATGGGAATTAACACTTGTTTTCTACCTACTATTGTTATGTTAGGCTCTTAGTGTAAGTTTACTATCTTACTCCTCATTTTAAGAAATGATCTCTCAGTTTCTGATGGGTTAAAGGCATAGTCCAGAGCTTATAAATAGCCAGAGCAGGGGTCAACATCAGTGTGTCAAACTCCTGAGTCTGAGTTTTCCACTATGCAGTGTGCAGTGTGGCTTCCCCTGAAAGCTAGTTTATATAAATAGACTGGCCTCCATGAAGATTAGATATATAGAAGATATGAATGAATGAATTTTGCTGGACTCTTTCACATCGCAACCTCAATGTGAGAATGGAACTCTGATTTTTCATATATATTAACAGTGTCTAGGAAACAATAGTCTGTGGTCATTTGACATGGCTTTGGCTGAATTACAATGTTGCTCCCTCTAGTAGAATTGATTCCTTTGTCATTGTGCTGTACTCAGTGTGGTCTTTCCACACAGCTTATAAGACATACCGTTTTATGGTTAGAGCAGTGGTGTAGGGATCAGGCTCTGGAATTAGACTTTATAAGAGTTCTAGTTGTTCTACATCCTTGCCAACATATACTTAAACTTTTTTTTTTTAATTTTAGCCATCATAGTGTTAGGTATGTAATAGTATTTCATTATTATTCACACTTCCTTAATGACCGTAGAGTTTGAGGCTTTTAAAATAGTTGAGTTTGGGGGGGCGCCTGGGTGGCTCAGTTAGTTGGGAGTCTGCCTTTGGCTCAGGTCATCATTCCAGGGTCCTGGGATTGAGCCCTGTGTTGGGCTCTCTGCTCATTGGGGAGTCTGCTTCTCCCTCTCCCATTGCCCCTCCCCCCACTTGTGCTCGCTTGCTCCTTCTCTCTCAAATAAGTATATAAAATATAAAAACCAAAATAGTGGAGTTTTTCTTCTTTTTCTATTTTGTGGAATAATTTTTGGAAGATAAGTGTTTTAATTTTCTTAAATGTTTGGTAGCTTGTCTATTGAAAACATGGATCCAGAGTTCTCATTTTGAGGCTTTTCTTTATATAGATTTTTTCCTAGGTTATGTGTTACTATTATCATTTAGATTTTTCCATAAACTTTCCTTTTATGTTACTCTTTGTTACTTTTTCCACCTCCAGATTTCTAGGGTCATTTTCCTCCTGCTTGAAGAGTGTCCTGAATGTCTCCTCTAGTATATGGATATGGCCATAGCTGGTGACATAGGCTCTCAGCTTTTCGTTTGCTTTGTGTTTAAAAAAATGTTTACCTTCACTTTTGAAGAATACTTTTCACTGGGCATGGAAGCACCAAAGCTGGCTCACCTTTTTTAGCTTTTCCGCTTTTCCAGGTCCCGGATCCTCACTCAGAGTGTCCCTCTGATTGATGCTTTCAAGGATGTGTGCATGCACATGTGTGCGTGTGTACGTGCATGTGTGTGTGTATGTGTGTTGTTTTGTCCAGCTCTTCTAACTGTTCTCCATTGCGAGAACCCCAGGCTGCCATTGTTGGATGCATATAGCATGACACAGAGTACCCCATCCAGAACATATAATAAAAATGTTGTATGTTTGTTTTCTTTTTTCAGGTCTGTTTTTTCTTATTAGACTGAACTCCTTGAGGGCAGTGACCACGTCTGAGTCTTTATACATCCTTACTCTTTATATTTAGTGCAGGATCTGCTCATATTAAGTGGTTGTTATATGGTGGACTGTGCTGTAGTTCTCCTGTGGTTTATCCTACACCTTGGGAATGGCTGTGTTCCTGGGATCGGTTTTTTCAACCTCAGCAGTGTTGACACTTTGGGCCAGATGGTTCTTTGTGGTGGGGGCTGTCCTGTGCTTTGTAGTATATTTTGTAGCATCCCTGGCCTTTACCCATGAGATGCCAATAGCACCCTGTCCCCAATTGTTACCACTGAAAATGTCTCTGGATATTTGCAACTGTCTACCAGGGGACAGATTGCCTCTGGCTGAGAGCTACTACGGTAACGTGCACGGTGCTCAATAAAGGACATTCAGCTGAGTCAATGTTTTGCATTTGTGTTTTCTAATGTTGACTTTCCTTTAAACCATAGGGTTTGAAACTGCCAAGTCTTTTGCCCTCCATGGTGCACATGTGATCCTCGCCTGTAGGAATATGACAAGGGCCAATGAAGCTGTGTCACAGATTTTAGGAGAATGGGTAAGCAAGTCCTTGACCCCCCCGTTTTTTTTAATTGTCAAATACACACGCTGGGATAAACACATGGAGGTTTTAGTACAGTGCATAAAGTTTATTGCTCTTGGAATAATGTTTTCTTTATTTTTAAAGTCATATTCACTTTGTTTATTTTATGAATGAAAGGACAAGCAAGACTGTTATTATCCACACGTTTGTTTATGGTTCATTGTCAATGTCATCTGCTTTATTATTCAGAGGTTTGAGAATGTTTACTCATTCGGCTCATTTATTAAGAAAAATAAAATGTGGTTAATGCCCGTGTATGCAGCTAAGACTTTGTTATGCTTATGGTTTTTAAGGTTAGGAGAGGGTGCGCTTTAACCCTGTGTCTGTTTTTTACTTTTCACTTTTCTCTCTCTTTGTGGATTTTCATATTGAGACGTCTGTGCATAAACATTTATTGAGGGTTCTCAGTCCTCATGAGGCTAAGGATATAGCATATTAGTCAGAACAAAACCCCTGCCCTCCCTTGGGGTTACTTTCTAGGTAAGGAGAAACAGACCATAAGGGATAATTCAGTTTAATATTCAGCATACTGCCAGGTTGTTTTAAACACATGAAACACAGTAAAGCAGAGCGAGGGATGAAGAGTTAGAGCGTGGGCCATTTTGGTTTGGATCCTTAGCAGAGAAGCCTCTGATGTGGTGATATTTGACATGAGACTTGAATTAAGTAAAGGAGGGACATGTGTTGTAAGCGGTGGGAACAGCATGTGCCAAGGCTCAGAAGGTGGAGTGTGCTTGGAGGATTCAGGCTTGGCAGGGCGGCCAGTGTGGCTGGAGCCAGGTGGCAGGGGAGGAGGTGACAGAGGTGCTGTGGGGTGTCACTAGGGCCTTAGAGCCAGTGAGAAATAAGACAGCGGAGAGTTTGAGCCAGAGTAGCACAGGTTGATCACTTTTGTAGCATGATCACTGGGCTTTAGTGTGAAGCATAGACCGTATTCATTTATTCACTTGTCATTTATTCAGGTTTAGGATGTGTACCCTGTCCTAGGTTCTGGGGGCTACTACACTGTCTCCGTACAGCTTTCAGCCCAGATTGGAAATCAGATTTAACCAAAGACACATAAACATCAATGCAAATGTGAAATGATGATACTAGGTATTAGGAAGTATGAGTACTCCAAAATGATGAATAAAGCCTCTAGGTGGGGGACATTTGAAGTCTCTGAGAAGAAAGCGACTGAGCTGATCTCAGTATTTCCAGATCTCAGGAAAGACCTGGAGAAGTGGGGAAGGAAAGTGGAGAAGGTCCACTTGGGCAAAGGGAATGACCTGTGTGCGGCCCTGGGAGGAGGACGGGGAAGAGAAGGAGGAGATACTTGCAAAGCTGGGAGCAGAACATAAAGGGGGTGGGATGATCCTTCCCAAGGCTGTCTTTGTTTTCTTTTTCTTTTCTTCTCTCTCCTTTTTTTTTTTTTAAAAGATTTATTTATTTGAAAGAGAGAGAAAGCAGGAGCAGAGCAAGGGATAGAGAATCCAAAGCAGACTCTGCATTGAATGCAGAGCTCAATGATGCCCAGCTCCATCTCATGACTTTGAGATCACAATTTGAGCTGAAACAAAAAGTCGAATGCTCAACAGACTACGCCACCCAGGTGCTCCACTTTTTTTTTTTTTTTTAAAGATGTCTTGGTTTTCTGAATGATGTGGAAGACTTCTTGCCATTGGAAGAAACAGACCATGGTTACTTTAGGAGAACATCTGATGTTCTAGGCTGAAAGGTTATCAAAGTTAAGTAAAGGAAGATTTGTTTCTGCTCTTTTTACAGTATATTTTAAATGAAATATTTCAAATTCAGTGTATTTCAATTGTTTTGAGTTCTCTGGATCCTTTAGTTTTGAGTTACATTAAAAAAAATACAGGGCTCATTTTTTTCCTGATGATCTGAGCATCTCTGTAACTCTACAGTTAAGTAATAGTCTATATTAGGTGATATAATCACCTTTAGAGATGTACAGGTGAACAGATAGTAACATGTGCATATTGTCTGAATCTTCATGCAGCACTGGGAAGGTATCAAATAGTGAAAGTCCCTCTCAGTCCCTTTGGAAGAGAAATATTTGCCATTTCTTGTATATACTGGCAAATATGCACATGCCGTTACAAACTTTGATTTTTTTCACTTTATACCATTAGGAGATCTTTTATTATCAGTGCATATAGGTCCACCTCGTTTTTAACTGCTATATAATCTCCATTGTGTGCTTGTGCTCTAATTTACCTGAGCAGCTTTCCTTTTGCTGAACTTTTAGGTTGTTTGTCCGGTTTTGCTATTCCAAGTGATGCTCTCTTAAATTTCAGTCTCCTGTATTTTCACCCAAAATTGGGTCTAAACTGCTGCAGTGAGCATTCTTCATATGTGCTTCTGTGAGTGACATAGGGCACAATCTTAATAGTGGGCTCATTGATTCAAAAGGCATTTGTATTTAAAATTTTGGTTGCAGTTCCCAGTTGTTATCTAGTGGAGTCGTAGTGGTTTCTGTCCCCATTGTCAACGTGGAAGAGTACTATTGTCTAGCAACGGATGGTGTCTAACCTATAACGTTTTGCCATTTGATTTTAAACTGGAAAAAAATGAAATTCAGTGGCCCTAGTGATACTGTAAGAACTGTATTGTATAATGATATGAATATTTTAACCTGTCTTGAAAGGTAATATTAAAGCACCAACCTTTATGCATTTTAAAAATTGTCTTCATGGGACACCTGGGTGGCTCAGTCAGTTAAGCATCTGCTTTCAGCTCAGGTCATGATCCCAGGGTGCTGGGATGGAGCACTGAGTCAGGCTCCTTGCTAATCTGGGAGCCTGCTTCTTCTTCTCCCTCTCCTTTTGCCTGCTGTGCTCTCTGTCAAATAAAAAAAATCTTAAAAATAATTATCTTCTTGTGTCTGAGCATAGATACATCTGTGTTTAACCCATTATAACTGTTGTTTGATGAAGAGAGGCAGCAAATCCTGGGTGTTCCCTACTTGCCTGTGGGGCCTTGGCAAGAGCCTTCAAATCTGTTTTGTGTCTCAGGTTTCTCACCTCTGACAAAGAAGGTTGACTGGTATGAGTGTAAAGATCCACCATTTAGTTTTTCTTCCTTGTGTCGTAAGCCATAATTGGGTCTCTGGGCGTCCGTTTCTGATGACAGAATGCATCATTGCCTGCTTTCATTTTATAATATCAGTAACCTGATGTCAACCGGCAAACAGTGCTGCTCTCAGAGAGTTACCCCCAAAATATTCACTGTCCGACACATTAAGTAAAGGAAATGGGAAGAAAACCAAAACTAATACTCACATGCTGTTTCCAACATTTAAATCAAATTTTGTAAGTTGTAAACTTAACCTCTTTATCATCTCTCATCTGTCTGCTAGTTGTCTGCGAGTATCATTACACCATTTCCTCATTCCCCCAGACTATGATTATGGAAGCTCATATATAGCACCAAAAGCCATTTTGTGTCAGTGCTCTATTACCATAGTGCCCAGTGTGTGTGAACCTGCCTCCGTGATCCACCTGGAGCTCCCCTCGCCACCCCACCCTTGGTGCGTGCTGGGCTGGCTTCCTTCAGGCCCTTGCTTACCTCCTCTCTGGGCAGGGACTCGATCTGGCACATCATTAAATGCCACCTTCTTGTGTTTCTCAAGGTCAATTTGATTGACTCCAGTTTTTCCAGCTGCTAGCCAGCTTGAGCGTGTTCATACTTTATCTGGTATGAATCCTATCAGTAGCGGAGCTGGGAAGGTACTGCAGCATATTGGTGCCTCACGGGAAGCTCTCGAAATGATCCAAAGTTTTTTGTTGCAGCAAAAGCTCACTCAGAAGTCTGTGGGCTATTTGGCTCAGCATTGGCTTGTATGTGCCAGGGCTCTGTGGGCATTCTCAGCTTGGCTCTGGAGATGGAGTTCATGCCGCCTTCCCCAGCATGTTCTTCCCTGCCTCCATGGCACATTTTAGAATTGCCGTGTTCCAGAACATTCATGTCTGCCTCTAAGCCAGTGGGACATGATTCTATGCTTACCATAGGGCATCTAACAACCATCCTTTATAGAGAGTCCCATATAAAGTGCCAGCTGAGGCACTTTATATCCCTCTTCAGGAGATGCAAGAGCCTGGTTTTCTCCATTTTACATAAGAGCCAATGGCGGGCTCAGAAGGGTGAAGGGACCCTCCCAGAGACACACAGCTGATGAGTGTAGAGGCAGGCTCCTGGCACAGTTGGTCCATCTGGTCTTCAAACCCAAAGTCTGTCTACTTCATGGCCCAGCTTTTCTACCACATTTGGCATCATGCATGTTTATTACCTTTCAGGCTTTGCGTTCAGAATTGCTAGATGATATTTGAGGGATTAATTTCAGGATTAACCCTAATTTCTCATAGGAAGCAACACTGATTTACCTTATTGTCTTAAGCAGTCCTTTTCATTGAAGACATCCTTTATAGAGTTCTCAAACTACTTTTGGGGGGGCTCTGGCTATTTAGTAAAATATAACTTAAATGAAAACACATTCCATATGGAATTATATTAAGAGCCTATATGAAATTACAACTACTAATAATTATTTCATGGGAAAATGCCCTCCTGCTGAGATGTTTTGGATGCTTGAAAGTTAGTAATAAGAATTGAAAACAATTAAAATTAGATAACGTGGACAGTAGAGAAGTAAACTACCCTCTTAAAAGGCCAATCCATTTAGCATAATTTAGAAAGGAGGGAGGGTAGGGAGGCCCATCATTCCCCAATCATATTTAAATAAAGGATCTCTGGAACTGGGGTTCAGTGCCTGTGTTGTTAAGCGGTCCTTGGTAGGAGGATGTGATCTATCTCTTCACATTCTTAATTGGATTATGGACTAGAGTCCCCTCACTCTAAGACAAGCACCTAATTTTTTCCTAGGTATTCCAAGGAGCCGATATGGCTGGCTGAGCAGGAAGTTTACTTTCCTGTTTTCAGGATGGAGTGGCTTCTGT